AAGAAAAGAAAAAGAAAATACCACTTAGGACTTCTGGAATTTTCCAGTCATCTTTATTACAATGAGTATGAACTACTGATGTGGTCCTTCAAAGACCACACAGGTATCTCTTTATTCAACTAAACGAGTTACCAATTATTTTCTATAGCGCTTTCAAATCAGTGAAAATATAATCACCATGAAAATTCAGAGAACAAAGCTCTCTTTTCTCACATACGTGATGCTGTGTCAACACTGGTTCTTTACCTTGATGGCCAACAGCTCTCATGCATCAAGGGCACTACTGACATTTTCGTTTTTTATGAGAATATCTCCTGTACAACAAGTTATTAGCATCCTGGCTCCACCCATTTAACACCCTCAGCCATGCTGACAAGCATTGCAATAAGTCTCTAAACTTTAAATAGAGACCAAACACTGTGTAAAAACCTTTCAAGATTCCCCCATGTCTCTAAATGCCCACTTCAGAGCTGGGAGAACAGTGTACTAGCTGAAAACCACTAATAAGTGCTTTAATGTTCCATCAAGAAATAGTGATTCACTCCTCACCTGAGCTAGGTAAATGGGACACCAAGATGAGTAAGACACAGCCCCTGTCCTTGGGTCTAGTGATTCTGTCTTACCTTCTTTCTATCAGTAACAATATACTGGAACACTGAAAGGAACAGCCAAAAAGAATCTATCTGAAATGGGACACACTGCCACTCATTCTGGAACAAAGTATGAAAAATTCTAATTGACTTACATATTCAAATATCTTTTGAATGAGCATAGTTTAGAAGGGTAGTGGGCAAGATGGTGTAGAAAGAAAAAAAAAACCCACAGCTTTTAGAGTCAGAGTAACTTAGGTTCAAATCTCAACCCTGACACTTATTTCCCCCGTGATTTGGGCTAAATCATTCTTCACTAGGAGTAGTATCACTCTACCTCCTCCCATCCACTGGGTGGAGATGTTTGGATTGTCCCAATGATTTGAGGATGCCAGTGGCAATTAATGGGTGGGGTCATGGATGCCAAATGTCCTGCAAAGGACAGCAGAGTCCAGTTCAACAAAGAATCGTTTCACCCAAGATGCCACCAATGTTCACTACTAAGAACTCTCCTCCCTCAGTTTCCTCAACTGTCAGAATAGTGATTAGTAAACCGGCCTTCAAGGTTGAGGGTGAAGTTTATAAGAGATGCCACAAGTAAAAGGACCCAACCCAGCAATATGTGCAGTCGGCCTTGATAAAAGCTTACTCACCTTACTATCACCTCCCTCCTGAGTTAAAATGTCACACAGCGCTTTTACAAAGGTCCATCATGAGTTATATGGCAAAGAAAGTGAGCAATCATTTCCTTAAAATGGAGAACATTAATAAGCAGGTATCCTCCAAATTTCACACTCTCACAATATCTGTTTAACAGGCTTTCACATAAGTAGTCTAAACTTTAAATCAAGAGCCCAAATCGGTCTAGAGACCTGTGTGACTGACCTACCTCCAATTCTTGCCGCCTCTTTCATTCTATCCCACTAATGTATATAGTCCCCAACAGATCATAATTTCCTATAGGCCTTGGCTCAACCTAGAATACCTGTCCCCTATTTTTATCTTACTGGCTAAATTCTCTTCTTAAAACACTACTAATGTCTCCAAGAACCAGGTAAAACCCCCTCAAACGTTAAGCCCTCCCTGGTATCCTCTATCACTTCTTTTTTAAATGTATTCATTTTTTGAAAGACAGAAACAGAGCGCAAGCGGGGGAAGGGCAGCGGGAGAGGGAGACAGAATCTGAAGCAGGCTCCAGGCTCTGAGCTGTCAGCACAGAGCCCAACACAGAGATTGAACTCATGAACTGCGAGATCATAACCTGAGCCTAAGTTGGCCATTTAACCGACTGAGCCACTCAGGCGCTCTCGCCCCCTTCTCACTTCTAAGAAGCCCTTTTCTTATGTGCTCATAAAGTGGGTTAAATATTATAGCAGTGGTTGGAAATAACTGGGAGACACAGAGCTTAGAGTTTTCAAGTTTCCTATGAAATTTCAATTACATTTTCCTATCTGTATAATGTAAATATAAGCACCTCCTGTGTCTGGTCAATCACCCAAGAAGAGTACTAACAAGCAATTCAAGTGTCCACACCTGAATATGCATATATAACAGTGCTGACATTAGCAGACCTTCTTTAATTGCCTAAGGTTAATGAGAACAAAACAGCAGCAAACTCAATAAATAAATGATGTGTTCACACCAAATGAAACCCAGTAATTTAGAGCGTGCCATAAAAGCAAAGGTTTTCCTATGGTTCAAACAAGGAAATATTAGAAAACCTGAATCATGGCATAGTACAGAGTCGAAGAGTCATGGCAGCCCCCAAGGACCCTGTGTTTGTCCCAGTCGGTACCATGTGCATTTTGTGAGTAGCCAAGAAAGCATTTTCAGGATAATGCTTAAAATGGACTCTTATTGGTTTTATGTTTTATTTTCATTCTGTTCTTAAGGAACTTATGTCCCATTTTATATATGTACATGCCTAAGTTATATAAATAAAATTCATCTAAGCATCACTGGTAGGACAGAAAAGGAGACTGACTATACAACAGAAGTTTCAAGTTTGAGAGAATGCATTTCAAGTACATTGAAAAATCAGAACGTAGATATTAACCCTTAATGATTGTTAAGGGGCCTCAGAGTGGCAGGCACAGCACTGGATTTCATACTTGTTCACTGAATGAAAAGTAGTTATGGACTTGGGGCAAGTTTCCTTAGCTCTACTTTTTACAATAAAATGAGGACACTGATCACAAAGGTTTGTCCGACCTCAAGTGTAATACTTTTTAAGTACTTTTATAAATTGTTAAATGCTAGATACATGTTAAGTACTAGTATTATTGTTGACAAGTGGCTTTTTCAGCTTCTTACAGTTCCTTGAGAGACAGGAGCCTTTTTCCAGTCATCTTTACATCCCTTCCACACGAAGCACTTAACATGTCTGCGGCTGGGATTCCTCTCCACCTAAAATCATCCGTATAAAAGGTAAACTGGGCTCCCATTAAAACTACAATTTTTTTGCTGCTTTTAAGATCCAAAATACCCTTTCATTTTGAAATAAGAGCACAGTGACAAACTGCAAATCTGTTTCCAAACTTGTAAACACCAGGGTGTTGTGTTACTAGGACACTGGGTACTACTAAGAGTTTCCATTTGTTTTATTAAACTTTCAATGAAGGCTTTGTGTGGGTGTTTATATTCTTGAAAAGAAAGATTTAAGCTCATTTAAAACGTAAAACACCCACAGAAAGGATTATCTGCTATTCCTTTAATATCTGGCAAGTTCTAAAAAGATGAAGACAAAGTTAGTGTTCATTCATATAAGTGCAATTAAAATCCTCAGTGTCAAAAGGCCAGTCTGTGCCTATCTGGAGATAATGAGAATGGAGAAGTGCTAAGCAGACAAGAGGCCAGTTGCTAGAGTGGTTAGATCCAAAGAGAGGAAATTAGATCTGAGAAGTGCCTAAAAAGCCAAAACAGGGCAGGAAGGCAGGCGGAGCTTCAGCACAATTCTGTTATGAACCTGAAATTGGCCAGCCTATTCCTTTCTAATACTGACTCAAGTTTCCAACTTCTGCTAAGACTACTTGGGATTTCTTTTAAACACAGCTTCGTATTATCCAACATTATTAGCGTCGTAGCCGAGATGGCAGGCACCTCAGGCAGTCTGCCCACACCAGATCTGCCACTCTGGTTGAGCCCCCTCAGACTTCAAAACTATTTTTAACTACTGTGTAACTCTGAATTTTAAATTCTCCCTTACCAGGGCAACGATAGCTGAAGCTTCCCAGGAAAATTTACCAATTACAGGAGCTTTCTTGGAAAGATGTGGCATTAACAGACGTTTATAATGGAAATGTTTCAAAAGTAGGGAAACTGAGGAACACGTAAGCGACTAGAGCCAAACCACAAGACGTGAATACTACCGAAACCAATTCAGTTACACAATTCTGCTTCCTATCCACACTCCTCTGAAGTCCTCCACGAAGTCTTTAAAATCTGAAGTAAACATAGCTTTCTTAGAGAACGTCCTTCCAATCAAAAGGGACTACACTCTTCCGGTGCAGTTTGGGAAAGAGACTATATGTTTGCCTTGTCATCAAAAGCCTAAAACAGCGAGATGGATTTCATTTGACCCCACTTCCTCCCTCCGAGCAGAAGGCTCAGGAACGGGCATTTTAGAGAGCCGTCTAAAAAATACATGCGATTTTGCAGCAGGTGGAGGAAGGAGGAAAGACTGCAGAGAAGGGGCACGTTATCCTTGCTGAAACCAAGACAGCGGAGTCCCGGTTTCTGGAATCTGTTGGGGAACTTGAGGCAGATGTTCCCAAAGAGACCGGAGAAAGGGCGGCATCATTTAAATGTCCAGGCAAAATGCGAAATAAAACTAGCGAGGTTTTTGTACTTTGACGACGTCTTGGGAACTCAGTATCACAATTTTTTTTTTTTTAAATCATTGTGAGGGAATTTAAACAGGATGGCAAAACACCATCTGAGAAGGTGGCGCTCCAGCGCTTCACCTTTCCCCCGAGAGTGGTTTCGGAGGGCGCCCGCTCTGCCCCGGCGGGTGGCTCGGCTCGCTCACAGCCGTTTCCCATTCCTGCCGGCAGGACGCCGGGGGACTCGCTTTTGCCACAGAACTCGGATAGCAGACGCCGGTGCGGAACGGGAACGCGTTCGGGGGGTGGAAAGGAAGGGCGCCGCGCGGGCCGAGCCGAGGGCGAACGCGCTGCGCCGCGGGCCACGGACTTCACCCGGATTTAACCAACCCTGGAAACGGGAGTGAGGCGGCCCGAGGACCCGGCGAGGAGGAGGAAACTCCAGCAATGGAGAAAGGAGAACAGAAAGTGGCGAGCGGAGCAGAGCCTGGCCCCAGAGCTGCTGGCTGGCTGCAGGCGGGCAGTCGGGCCAGGAGCCCGCGTCTGGCGGGTTCGCGCAGGGCCCCCCGACGTCCCCCGCGGCTCCCACCTGGCGGCGCTGGGGCCTGGAGCGGGCGGCTGGCTCGTCCCCGGCCTTTCCTCCTCGTCCTCTTCCTTGTCCCGGGAAGGGCTTCGGGGAGCGAAGAACCGGGAGAAGGAGTGCCAGGGGGCGCCGCCCCTCCTCCGTCCTCCAGACATCTCCCCGGCGCGGCTGCCGGTCCGGGGCCGTCCGCAGGGAACGGACTTGGCGGTGTCCTGCGCCGGGAGCCCGGCGTGGCGGGACCCGGCGACGGCAGGACAGACTGGGCGCGGGCAACCAGCTCGGCTCAGTCCATCCCGGGCGGGAGCGGCGCGGGCGCAACGCGCTCGCCGCGCGGCTGTTGCTAGCGCCGCACGCCGGCTCCTCCTCCCGCCCCCGACTGGCCCGCCCCCTGGGAGGAGCCTGAAGCCGTGGCACCGCCCCGGGCCCGGGCCGGGCGGGAGTCTGCGGGTCACGCCGGGTCCCAGTGGGGAGCGGGAGCAGGGCACCCTGGGTGGGGTGAACGCGCAGCCGGGGACGCTGGGCTCCGGGTTTCGCGCCCAAAAGAGTTCAGGCTGTAGCCCATTTCGCTTTGCTCTCGGTTTTTACTCTGTATTATGATTTATTTTCTGTCCCCAGGCAGTGAACGAAAACTGTACTCAGAGTTTTAAAAGTTGATGAACTAAAGTTTGTGAACATACCTTGTAAAGTGCGGTATCAGGGGGACTTGGGCTTTTAGATAACAAACAGCTACTCCAAAAATACTTTCTACAGGGCTGCAGAAGAGATTACCCCACAGCGTCCCAGAAGTGAAAGTGGGGCATAGGTGTCTGTGTAGGTCTGTCAACTCTTTTCTTGTTCAGCTACCTTATGTGGGGAGTAATTTTTCCTAACCCAGATGTGCTTTAAATTTCTCACACTCCATATTACATACTACTCTGAGAAGCATCTTGCAAACACGACTGATAAAAAAGTGATTTAAATTTCTAAGTGTTGTTGAAACATACTCTGTAGTCGTTACACAGACTTCACCGAAATCTGGAAACCAGTCTTTTAAGATTGCTTAAAAACAAAAACAGTCTAAATATAGTAGTATAAAATTTCTTAGCGTTTTTTTTTAACGTTTTACGTATAGAAAGCCCTACATAATGTATACATCTTGATGAGTTTGGAGATAAACATACACTCATGAAACCATCATAACAATCTATGCCATAAACCTGCTTTCTTACTATTTGATAACACTTAACACACATACAACACAAAACAAAAACTTTTTAGTAAATTTTTAAGTGTACAATATAGTATTGTTAACTATAGGCTCAATGCTGTAGAGTAGAACTCTAGGAAATACTCATTTATCATAACTGAATCTTTGTACTCTTTAAGAGCTCTGTTCCTCCTCCTTGCGGACTCAGGGACCGCCATTCCCTGTACTTATACGAATTTGGCTATTTTAGATTCATCATATAAGTGGGGTATCATGTAGTATTTGTTGTTTTGTCTGACTTACACTAACACAGTAGATAGATTTTCTTAGTTTTTTTTTTTTTTACAAGAGAACAAATCTACACCTTTATTTATTTACTTTTCAGTTAGTTTAAATCCTTGAGGGGTACAGCATCACACGGATTCTGTGGCCAATGGCTTTAGCAGGAAGGTTGCTTCGGAATTTTGCACGAACCATGCCACTGTTTCCATGAGCACGAGTTACTTTTCCTCAGATTACTCTGGTTTTATTCGGTTTGCCACCAGGAGTCACTGTGTTGTTCTTTGCTTTGTACACATAAGCACATCTCTTGCCTAGATAGAACTCAGTTTCATCTCGGGCATAAACACCTTCAATTTTAAGAAGAGCTGTGTGCTCCCTCTGGTTCCTGAGACCCCATTTATAGCCAGCAAAAATGGCTTTGGACCACAACCTTCCAGACATATTTGTCGTTTCAGGAGTCCTGTTCCCAGCAGGCCTCCACGGGTTCAAAGATGGCCGATTTTCTTAGTTTTTTTATATCCTAGTGGGTAGCACAGAAAACACTGAGACCCATTCACTGCAGGTATTTATATTTTGTTTGCTTGTTTTTAGACTAAATTGCTCCTGAGACAGTATAGAAATATTTAGAGAGATATTTACAGAGAATTAGACATTTACTTGTGTAAAAATTATATACAAGTAACTGAAACGTCCAAGGCAGTTTTGGCTTGGGAGAGGGGAAAGAAGGTATCTTGAGGGTCATCCCTCCTCTGGTTTAGGGGTGCTGGAGAAGAGAAGGTTGTTTTCAGTAAGTTGGACATCTATAAGACCCAGTCATTTCTGCATCAGCTGGTGGCTGTTGAGTGTCCCTGCCTTCCCACAGCTGCCTCCTGGAAGGACTCTAGCCCTTCCTAAGTGCAGCAGAGCCCAAGGCACTCACTCTAATTTGTTCTAGCTTTGATTTAACCCACCAAAGTTAAATCAGCCCACTTTCCTTCAGCTGGATTCAAGATTGACCAATGCTTTTTCATTGGAAATATTTCCTCCTTCTCTGTGAGTCTGAGAAAATAGGAAAAAGCTGGAATAATACATAGGCCAAGTTCCCAATTCTAGCCTTATTATTTTAGGGGAGAATCTCCATGAAATGCCAACTTACCAGAAAACCGAGATAACATAAGAACAAAGAGAATATGAAGCAAATCATTCCCTCCAGCTTAGAAGGCCCAGAGAATGATTTATCTACCTAAAGGAATGTTAAGTGATCACCAGATGTGTCCCTAACTTGTACTGTGAAAAGCAGGCCCTATACTACCTACTGCCTACCCTGAGAGTAGATTGTTTGGGAAGTCTTTCTGGGGATAAAAGTGGGTGGGATCCAGCAAGATTTAGTACTGAATTATGGTTTTAATTAATAATAGCTTTCTAAGAATAACAATTTCTCTGAAAAATAGTTGTCAAGGAAATGCAGTGATAGTCATATTTCTGCAGTAGCCACTAATCTCGGTAAGCGGGAAGGCATCAGAATTGTAATTGTAAAGTTCTTCATAAAAATTTTCTACAGTGTGGGTGATAATAGTATAAGTATTGGAAATAATGCTAATGTTCATCCAAGTAGAATCCCTTGTATTAATGAACACTTTGTAAATGTATAAGATAGTATAGATGTTATTAGAGGCCCCTAAAGTGGACATGTAGATTTATGATACATTTTTTTTCTCGAAAGCAACTCCTTCACGAAGGAAACAATATCTAATGATATTCTAATCTCCATTCTGTGGTAGAAAAGCAGCACTTTGAATGAAATGTAAATACAAATGGTACCTGGCTCCATTAAGGCAAACTTTATCTATGAAAGATTAGTTTAAAGCCATAAAACAATGACCCCTAAATTTTGACTTACTTTTCTAATACTTATCAGTTCTTAGGTATCCTATATCCTGATAACAAATTTATGAATACTAAGTTATAAGATTATATTAGGAAGTCTGTACAAATGTTGAATTTTAGAGTTGTGAGGATGTTAGAGATGAAATTTTAGCACAGTTCATTCACTCACTCAGTTGTTCCATTTAGTGAAGGCCTACTGTAGGAGCAGATTCACTGGGAAGCGTCAAGGAGGCACTGGCACAGTCTCTTCCAGTGTGCACTCAGGAATGGGATGACATGGTCATGTGTTTTTTTGTGAAATTTATCCAAGTAAATGTTTTAACTGCAATTGATTAAGACACAAAATCTTTCTACTTGGGATTTCCACACCCCTACCCCCGGTATCACACTTCTCCTAAAATCAGTTGACGTTGGATTTACTGGGGACATTTTGGCATCTTCTAGGAATTTGAGTTGGACATACATTTAGTTTGGATTTAGTGGTATATATTTATCTGGCTGTCAGTGTGTCCAAAATTTAATTAAGTTACAGCTTAAATTCCAGTTTGTCCATTGTGCAGCTCACCAAGCATTATAGCCAAGATGAAGGCACAGAAGTCCTGTCAAGACATAAACATATCGGGGCACCTGGGTGGCTTAGTCGGTTAAGCGGCCAACTTCAGCTCAGCTCATGATCTCATGGTTTGTGAGTTCGAGCCCCATGTTGGTCTCTGTGCTGACAGCTCAGAGCCTGGAGCCTGCTTCAGATTCTGTGTCTCCCTCTCTATCTGACCCTCCCTCGCTCACACTCTGTCTCTCAAAAATAAATGTTAAAAAATTTTCAAAAAGACATAAACATATCCTAAGACCCCTGATGCTGAAAATGTGTGGGTAGTAGAGGCAAAACAAGATTTGAAATGTACAGTAGCAAAAGGAAACTGTGGAAAATGATTCCAGGCATCAGAAGACAAAATACAAGAAGAATCGCTTTCAAATGATGTGATTTTTGTCGTAGCAGTAATATGTTCACTACTGCAGCGTATATCATTTTTATAACTAATGTATCAAACTTTTTTTTTGAGGGGGAGAATGTGAGCAAGGGATAAGGGCAGCGGGAGGGAGAGAGAGAGAGAGAGAGAGAGAGAGAGAGAGAGAGACATAGAGAAAGAACCTTAAGCAGGCTCCACACTCAGCACAAAGCCCAATGCAGGGCTTGATCCACAAACCTAGGATCATGACCTGAGCCAAAATCAAGACTCAGATGCTCAACCGACTGAGCCACCCAGGTGCCTGCATGAAACTTTTTAAATGAAAATCATGTAACACAGAATTTATCAGAATTCTTTGTAGGGAACAAACCTGTCAGGGCACTACAGTGAGTGTATGTATGAGAGTGTTGCATGTTTACATAGCCCTCCAATCAATAAGGCACTTAACCAGATGTATAGTAAATGACATTAGAAAATCATTGTTAGTGGAGCATGTGACTCTTGACCTGGCTTAGTTGGTAGAGCATGTGACTCTTGATTTTGGGGTCATGAGTTTGAGCCCCACGTTGTGGTAGAGATTACTTAAAAAAAAAAAAAAAGGAACGTCATTATCATATGAAAGACCATCAAAGAGTATACTATCAAAAATAAAAGGAAAAAAAGTATTATAGAGGTATGCCAAGCAGTTCATGGAAAATTATATTGGTTTTCTAGACTTTGTGATGTTTGTATTATTAGTCAACTTTTTAAAATTGGTAATTTGCATGATTTATTTTTTCATTTATTTCTATATCTAATTTTCATTCTTAATTTTGAATCAGTTTTCTTTAAAAATGACCCCTCAAGTTGTAAAAATCTTCAGATACCTCAGAACTTCAGTCCCTAGGTGTCAACTATATGTCAGATACATGCTTATTCTTAGGAATACTAAGATGAGTAAGATACT